ATATGCTAAGAGGTGGGATTGGAACCTCGGTTTTCCTTCCAGTCTCAGAGACTAGTTCTCTATCCACTGCTCTAAACTGCCTCAATCCTACATTTTTCTAACAAGTTTTACTAAGAAGATACAACGTAATGAGTGACTAGATTTTGAACAGTTTTATAATGTAACTGGTTATGAAGTTGTTAGGTGCCTGCTACTTTATGTCAGGCGCTAAATGAGATGCTGAAAATACAAAGACAGTAATGAACCATTCTCAACTTTAAGAAACTTGGGGTGTCTCAGGGGAAACAACATGTACCAGAAATATGGACTGTATGGGAATGGATCTGAGTTTCATCATCAGGCATTCCTGTCGATGGAGTCCTAATGCCCTGACTCCTCCCAATCCCAGGAGGTCTTTCTTTGTGTTCTCTGTACCTTCATGAAGGCCATAGAGAATATCCTGGAGGCCTTGCTATCGAATGGCATTCTTTATAGAGCATCCCATTGTTTTCCAGACATTGTGACATCTCATAAGCGTTTGTAGCGGCTCTGGAGGCAGGTCCTTTGTCCCCACTTTGCATCCACAGTACTTAGTGTTAGCTCTCCTTCCACCAGAGGATTTTACTGCTCTAGAAATCTTGTATACCTATAATTTAAAGATGTTATCACTTATTATCATAGAATATTAACTTTGCTTCATAATAAGATGTCAAATAGTGTATGCAAACATTTGGCACTTTACCAAGACAGCTTCCTGGCTCTATGAAGTTATTTTATACATTCTCTCCCTATACTTAATATGTATTTGTGTATGTGTATGTATCTTGAAACACTGAAACAAGGAAGTAAATGATTGCCAACTCTTAATAATCTTGTTGTCTTTCCTTTCTATGCCTAATTAACGTTATTTTTTTTGTATTTGAATGTACTTTTACTAACAATATAATTGACTACAAACAATTACCATGATAGTATTATACTGTGTATTACCACCTAAAAAGTTTTAGCTCTCTACTAACTACCACATCTTTGCCGAGGGAGCTCATGGATAAACTAGAACAGAAATGCTTTGGCATGGTAAGGGTCCATGGGGACAGCTAAGTGGCGCAGTGGATAGAGTACCGGCCCTGAAGTCAGGAGGACCTGAGTTCAAATCCAGCCTCAGACCAAACACTTGACACTTACTAGCTGTGTGACCCTGGGCAAGTCACTTAATCCCCGTTGCATAAAAATTAAAAAAAAAAAAAAAGGTAAGGGTCCATGCAATTTGATACCCCCCCATTTTCCCTCTCCATTGCTTGTCTGTCTTTTTTTTTTTTTTCAAACAAGTTAATAGATATATTTCCCCTCTCTTTGAGATGATAAGTGCCTGATAGAGATGATATATGTGCAATCATGTAAAACATTTCCATATTTATTCCATATTAACTTTAAAATGAAAGTGTTTACCGCATTTCTTTCGTATTTTACTATTAGCCACAAATTTTAGTTCTAAGATTTGCCCAGTTTGCTGTGACAGAATGAAGCCTAAAGTTCTCAGGGTAATATCACTTCTGCCATACATCCTTGGCATAACTGATAGGCAGGTGTTCTACCTTTAATAAATATTCAGTTAAAAAAATTGTAGATAATGACTTCTGCCATGAAGTCACAAGAATCTGTTCACTTTGGAATTCCCAGAAGCAAAGATAGGTACCATGGGACAATTTGATCTTCCCATTCTATGGGATAACGAGTTTTATTATGTTTTAGATTAGCAGTGAGTTAGGCTTCATACTCACTAGACTGTTCCACATTGTCCCCAATACAAGAAGTACCTCAGATGATTTTTACCTGATTAATGTTGACTTAGTTCTGATGAGCAGCATACTTCTGATTCAGAAATCTACTTGAGCCCTCTCAAATAAATAAAGAAGGTTAAAGCACATCATACACATTGGCAAGGATGCCAAAAGAACAGTTAACATGGAGGGACTCTGGATCCACAGGCACACTGACAACTTCTGGGTAGAGCTGGGAAGGGGCCCAGCCACTCCAGACATATTTGAAATTCTGCAAAAAAAGTTACTATATATGCCTTTGACATCTCAAACTCACTACTGGGCATATACTCCTGACAGAGTCAGACAAAACCAAATTACCATATGCCAAAATATTCAAAGCAGCCTTTGTGGTTGTAGCAGAGAACTGGGTACCTTTCAGTTGCAGATTGGCTCAAAAAACTGAAGCACAAATATAATGACATTTCACAAGATTATCTCGTCATAGGCATATATAACTTGAGGAAATTCAAGCTTATGCTTGAATGGAATAGGAGGGCTGATAGAAGGTAATGAGCATTTATATAACACCTGCTCTGTGTCAGTCACTGTGCATAAAAATAAGATATCTTATGTGACCACATTGATTGCTGAGGATGGAGTGGAGAAATTATACAGAATTTAAGACCCTCCAAATCAACATATATTCTAATATTTGGTGACTTTAATGCCAAGATGGGAAAAGATAAGGATAGAAGTATGTGGGAAAGGAAAGAATGAGAGAGGCCCAAAACATGTAGATTGTGTAGAAGCCTCATACCCCTATATTAGCACTTGCTTTGAAAAAAGAATTGATAGGCTGTGGACATGGGAAGCAACAAATAATGCCATGTTTTTACAGACAGAAAAAGACTTGTCATTAATACTGGTATAGAATATAAACTCATTTGAAAAATTTTACAAAGTTGGATGATTATGAAAGATACCTGCCCATAAAGAAAAAGAAAACAGTGGAAGGTAAAACCTAAACCAAGGGCACTTAAAGATGGAAATTAAAGTACTTTAAATAGAGAAAAATGGAAAAGATTTGCAGAGACCATTTTAACAAACTTTTCTTCATTAACTTGGATGCTTAGAATGTAGAAAGCACCCTTTTTTTTTCCCCCATAAGGGCTATGTTAGAATGTCATGGAATTCCTGCTTACTTAAAGGTTGGTGAAGTCAGCTTTCTTATAGTTCATTCACCTATATTATTTTGTTTTGTATATGTCACAAAATTTAAAGTGGGCAGGGGCTAGATCGAAAGAACAGCTTGGTGTGGAGGATTCAACCTAGATCTTGCCCTTTGCAAATGCAGTCAGTTAAATGGATGGGATAGGCTTGGGGGAAATGAACCCAAGTTCTTCTGGGGAACCTTGAATAAAGGGTAGTTAGTTGTGTACTCATGGAGAATATATTGGAGAAAGAAGGACTGACTCTTATTGGCTCTTGGGGGTGGGATGTGGGTGAAGGATCTGCTCTAGTCTTGACCCACGCCTCCTTCCGTAAGTAGGGTGGACAAAGAGTGTTTACTGAATGTCTTAGGCTGAATGTAGAAAAAACTTCACAATGTGGGGGATCCACATGTGCATTGAGCAGTCTCGGGACATAGTGGTTTCCCTCTCAAGCAAAGGCCAGTGGGTCATTTGTTAAGGCTCTTACGGGGAAGGATATTTTCTCAGGATCAGGATGAGCCAGATGGTCTCTGAGGTCCTTTCCAGTCTAGGATTCTGTAGTCTTTTGTGTTTCCTGTCAGGTGGAGCATTTGAGTCCTTGCGTGGGAGGTCTCTTTGTGGAAACAGCTGTGAGCCAAATTCTTTTTTTTTTCCCAGGAAAATCTTGGCTTGGCAGAATGAGCCGGAGAGCGCGAACATCTCCACTCATAACATAGGTCCTAATTGTGCTCCCTTGGATTTATGGAAATAACAATGAGACAAGAGCCTCCTTTCTGAGAACAGCCACAAAGCGAGATGTTTGCCCACCATCCCTTGCTCGGCCCTGTCTCAATAATCTCTCATTTATATAATGCTTGTGCTTTATCTTCCTTAGCCCCATATTACAGATAATGAATCTAGAACACAGACAGATGAGATGTGATTTCCTGGTTGTCCAGTGTTGTGTCCAGTAAAACATCACAGAAGTCTATGGACTTTACTCCCAGGAAGGCTTTGGGTCAGCCCTCTTCCTCTTGTTCTAGAAACAGTTACAACAAGCCTCATTGTCTGGCCTCTAGGCCCTTCTGAAAAGTGGGGAGAGAGCAGGAAAAAAGTGGAACTTCAATTCCATGTATTGTTTATTTCGAGAGGTCATCATCTCTTGAATCCCTGGCCCCCTTATCATTGCACCCTGCCAAACCTCAGCCTTGGATCATTCCCATCCACATCTGTCACCTTCCCTCCTCCACTCAGGCTGCTGAGCAAAGGTGGAAAAATCATGTGGCCATTCTGACTGGGTCCACTCCAGATTTATGTTACACAATCTCAGCTGGACCCACTGAGCCATTCTCCTGCATTTCCCTTATCAGCTCACTGTCCCACTGTCCACAGCAGCTCTTCCAAACCTTCTTATCCCTCCTCATACCTCCCATGGCTCCTTCCCCCCATCCCCTCAATGGAGGACCTTTCCTCATATTTTACCAAAAAATCAAGGCCATTCACCAGGAGCCCCCTCCTCTCCCTCTTCTTCATCTCTTATCACTCTGATGCCTTCTGTTACTCTCTCTTTCACCTCTGTCTGCCTTGAAGAGGTAGCCTCACTCCTTACCAAGGCCCTCTCGTTCACTTGCACAAGCTATCCCATTCCTTTTCATTCCTTCCCTCCATCCCCCTCTGTCCTCTCCACTCTATTGCTTCCATTTTATAAGAGCTCCAAGACAGGCAGGTAGAGCAGAAGGAGTAGAAGGAATAAGGGTAGAGTGGGATTTGGGCCTCCCTGCCACTCTGCCTTAGACCTAGACAAACCCTTCTCTGTTCTCTCTTTTTGGGTACCCTTACCCCCACCCCTCGTGTTTGATTTGCAGCAGCAGTGGCCTGGACCTTCCAGAAACGAGTACAGTCTCAGGCAGCAATCGCCGTTGTAGGGTTTTAAAGCCAGAAGGGGCCTTGTTGGTCCCGTTCAGCCATCCCTCATTTTCACAGAGGAAACTAGGACCTCAGAGAGGTGCCTGAGATCTGCCTGAGGTCACTCAGAGAACCAATAGAATCTACCTCATTTCTCTTCTAGGGTTGGAGACTACAGCAATTCTGATGTCTTGTCAAGCTCATTAAAGCAGCATTCTGCATATAGAAGGTAAGAAGTAAATGATTCTCATTTAGTAGCACTTTCTTTAAAAGTTAGATCGCAGAAAAGAGTTTCCTGCTGTCTGGATAGAAGGTGGCACGTGTGTCCCAGACAAAGGTCGAACTTGGTTCCCAGCCGTCACGGTTAGGAGCAGGTTTGCGTCATGCTTTCCCACGGTGTCTTATTTGAGCTTCACAACAAGACAGGTACTCCAGTGGATATTATCCCTGTGTCACAGGTGCCGAGCGAGCTCCAGAGACGCTCAGTGATGGACCCTGATCACACAACCAGAAAGGGTCACAGGTGGGATGTATACCCAGGCTTCTCGATCCCAAGGCTAGTGTCTTCTCCGCTTCACCCCAGTAGTTACCTGGAGACGTTCCATCTTCCTTCTTAATGCCCTGGAGAGCCAGGAGGATCTTGGCACAATTTTCACTTCATACCTTGTTCTACTTTGAGATGGCTTGCTGCTTCAGTATCATCCCCAGACAAACTCATTTGAGATGTGGAGGTGGAGGACAACCAGTCTGTAGAATGTGATGCTAAAGAGCTGGTTTGTTCTTTGCCGGTGGTCATTTCTACTGTCATTCCATGCCCTTGTGCTTGTGGCTGATGTGATCTGGATGGCCTCATTCATTGTGTCATGCCCCATTTGCTGGTGGGCTCTGCTTCTCTACATTATTTTCTTGGCCACCATCCTCAAGTAGAACAAATTCATCTATTGCCTGAGATTAAACTGCATCCCAGATTCCACTTTTAGCTTTTAATATAGTAGGAAGCCTGAGCTATGTCGTCTTTCCATGCATTTAAAAGTAAAACGATAAATCGAGTCATACTCCATTTAGCTCGATGAAGACCCAGCAAAGAATTTTTAAAGGAACTTCTAAATGTGTGTTATCAGTATCTTGGACCTTCTGAATATTGACAATGCTCCGGTGCTTTGTAGTCTATCGTGAATGTGGAAAGGTCACCTGGAGCGTTGTGGAGTGGTGCCAGGGCAGCTTCTGTGAACGTCAGATAAATGCTTTCCACCTCTGCAGGGTGGGTATGTATCGCTTGTTTTCTCAAAACTGGAGGCATGGGTAATTGTAGACAGCCATCTCTTGCTTTAAATCCTGCTGGAAAGTGAATTCCTTGGAAGAAAGAGTGACATTTGAAAAAATTCCTTGTCGTGCCGTGAACATTGAGGTTGTCGTTCAGTCGTTTCAGTTGTGTCTGACTCTTCGAGGCTCCATTTGGGGTTTTCTTGGCGAAGATACTGGAGTGGATTGCCGTTGCCTTCTCCAGCTCGTTTTACTGACTCATCTAGCTGAGTTCAAATCTAGCCTCAGGCACTTACTAGCTGTGTGACCCTGAGCAAGTCACTTCACCCTGTTTGCCTCAGTTTCCTCATTTATAAAATGAACTAGAGAAGGCAATGGTAAAACCGCTCTAGTATCTTTGCCACGAAAACCCCAAATGGGGTCACGAAGAGTCGGACATGAGTGAAAAGCAGCTGAACAACGATTGCCTACAGGCTTAGAACTGCTTTTTGCTTCCCTTAGGGAGAACCATCCTGCAAACATTTGAGCCTGTCTTGTGGTATCTTTTTAGTATTTAATTAATTATCTTCCTCTGCCATCCCCCCTCCCAATAGATACACCTAGGCTGGAATCCCTAAATTATCTTTGGCACTTTCCGTGTTACTTACATGAGCCAGTCACCAAGTCCCATTTCTTCTTTACTCTGTCTCTTGCATCTCTTCCTTTTAAAATTCATAGCTGCCGCCCTTTTCCAAGCCTTTATCTTCTCAGAGTTGTTATTACGGTGGTTGGTCTGTCTCCACCCCTTCTCCTCTGTCCAACACCTCACTGCCAGATTGAGCTTTCTAAAATATACTTTGATCATGACTTGGCTGCATTGATCAGATGCTGGGAAGAAGTCCCAGGGATGGGAAATAAGGCCTTAGGGCAGTGGATCATCACCCTTTTTCCAGAAACAATGGCAATATTGATTTGATTATAGTTCCCAGCCCAGCTGCAGGCTGGATGTCAAGAAAACAGCCAAAATGGAGACTGGATGGGACGTGAAGTGTGGCAGCCAGCCAGATGTGGCCTCTGAGAGTTTGCTGTCACTGACTCACAGTCTGCACTGCCTGGCCCTAAAGTGCCAAAACTGAATGGCTTACGTCCCCTGGGGTGTGGTCTTTGGGAGGTGCTGCGGTCCTGAGTTTATAGAGGGAGTTCCATAGTCAGTAAATGTTTATTAAGCACCTGCTGTGTGCCAGGTACTGTGCTAAGTGCTGGGGGTACAGATATGAAAAGAGAAAGACAGTCCTTGACCTCAAGGAGCTTACAGTGTAACGGGAGAAGACAAAACACAAGGAAGGGATGGGGGAAAGGCGCGTGACGTGGTGTCCAAGCTGAGCTCTCTCCTTAACTGGCAGTGTGAGAGGCTGAGGAGAGTCAGCATGAAGTGGAGTGCCCAGGCAGAGAGATCTTCCAGAATGATGAGGTCATCCCAGTAATGAGCTTCCTGGGGCCTGGTGGAGAAGTCTCCAAGCAGTGCCCCAGGTGAGGCATGAGGAGATCTGAAACTGGGCTGACAGGAAAACCATTTCTCGTGAAGTTAGAAAGGGGCTTAATGAGTAAATTAAATGTTGAGATGTCTCTCCAAACCGGTCCACCTTGGTCTCCTATTTCGTTGTAATTCATCCTGAGTCAATTCTGCAGCAGGATTTTAAGTGTTGTGTTACTGCGTGAACTTAAGTGAAATAAAATGAGTGGGAATGAATGAGACTTTATTAAATGCCTGCTACGTGTCTCAAGCACTGCAAATATAGATAGGAAGTCAGGACAATTCCTGCTGTCAAGGCCTTCCTCCTCATTGAGGAAGGCAGTACACCAAGGCGAGCTCACCTGTAGTGAGAATGCTCAATAAGGCCCTTTCGTTCCAGAGGCACAGTGAGAGAATGGCCAGCAGAGGATTTGCCCGGAGAGCGTAATGCCGGGTCCTCTGGAGCCTCTGTTGTATCTGAATGCAGATGGAAGCAGACTTATCACTTTGCTTTTGTTTTTTCTCTTTCTAGTGGTTTTGCCCTTTTGTTCTGTCTGATTCTTCTGTCACTGCTCGACTAATGTGTTGCCATGATCTTTATCTGGCCACTGGACCCAGATGACTCTGGAGGAGAGAGTGAAGCTGGTGATTTGCACAGCCATCCCTCACTTAACTCCAGTTCACTTGCAAGTCATGGCATCACCTTCCTGATGTCATGGTCCTCTTCAAGAGTGAAGGACAAATAACAATGTGGAAATATAATTCATATGATTATACATGTAGAAAAACAATAAAGCAAAGAAAGAAAAAGAAAGAAAGGACTGGGGACGCCCCGCTCACCATAGTGCATTTAGTTTATCATGTTCTCTAATTCAGACTTTTTTCTCATTGAGAATGGCCTTTGCAATTAGTCTTGATTAATGTTGCTGTAATACTAGTCAAACAAAACACTGACCAGCATAGGGCAGTGACGCAGAAGTGCCCGGGCATGCAGAGGATCATGGAGGGCTAGGGAGGGTTCCCCTATTCCTTCTTGCTCAGCAGCATGGAGAAGAGGCCAGCTAAAGAGGCTGCAGTCTTGTCAGCCACCCACGGCTCTCCAAGTCTGTGCTGTATCCTGTCCGCTTTACCTGAAATGAAGCCCTGGTGAAACTAAACCTGTTTTTGCTGGGAGATTGTTTTGCATTTTAACCAAGATATAATAAGAATGAAAGTAATGGGGCCGATAGCATACTTTTGAATTTATACATGCATTTCCAAAGCATATGTTTAGCTTCCACCAAAGAACTCTGCTGTCTCACTAAAACATGGGGCCTCAAGGTAACACCAGGTTCTTACAGCCCGGGCTGGCATGTCCAGTCATGCTAGAGAGGTTTCAGTGGCCCAGTGAGACCTTTGTCTTTTGTCTGAGAATCAGCCTAGTGAACTTTGAAGAGGTTCATCATCAAAAGATCAGACCCAGGGTGATGAAATATCTGGCCACAATAACCTCACAAAGACTAAGTAAGACTTGTAAGTGAGAGCTGTAATCTGTGTTAGCAAAGGAACTGCCCACACCAACAAAATCACGGGTCTGCAAATTATATTGTAGCAGAAACCATAATCTTATTAATCTTCTGTATGACTTAATTCAGGCAAAATTATATTATTAATCATTATTTGACCAACCATAGAAGTCTGAGGCCACATATATCCCTAATGAAAGTCTGATTACGCCACAGGATTTTCTTAAGGAAGAATACAATTAGTGATGCTCCTAATTGTGGGTCTTAGAGTGCTAATAAATTCTTTGTTGTTGCTAGGAAGATGCTTCCATTTTCAGCAGTCTTCTTGAAAACGTGATCCTTAGAATTCTGCCTTTAATTGAGACAGTCTGCTTATATTTTTTACAAAGACTATTATTGGAGAAAATTTTACTTCTTTATTTAATATTTGGCATAGTCTACCAGCAAGACGAAAGCCTGTTTTCCTCAAGTTGAATTAATTTTTTAAAATGAGACTTGGGTATAATAATGTACTAATAGAATAATTTACTAAATGGACTCTTGAGTCTTAATCATACCAGTTAGGTGTGGAGACTGCTATATAAATACTTTTTTTTCCCTGACTATTGTAATTATTATAATAATTATTATAAATAATTATTTATGTGAATGGTGGGAGAACTCTGTTTTATAGACTTTTCCCCTTGGGGTTATAAAAGACAAGCTATTTTGGTTATGACTGAAAAGCTCCCCATTTTTTTGCTTCTAAATCCATATATAAATAAGTCCCAAGCAACTCATACATTCTTCAGTCACTTTTATTTATTGAGTACCAAGCACTGTGCTGAGAGCCATGAGGAGGTGTCAGTTGGCTTTCAGTCCAGGGGAGAAGAAAGAATAGGTACAGAAAAAGGTCTAGGCCAGCCAAGGAAGATCTGTGTGAAGGGCCCTGAATGCCACTGATTGCTGCACTATGGGAAGGCTAGAAAG